TCTCTGGTACTGTTCTCTTGTTCTGCTTCCCAGCCACCGTGAACTAATCAGCTTTGATCCACCACACCCTTTCTCCATGATGTTTCTCCATGTTGGAGCCTAACAGCTGTGTATTGGAAAATTAAGGGGTTTTGTTTTTTTTTTTAAACCAGGGATCAAACTTGACACCTTGCACTTGTGAGGCAGGTCACAGCACCACTGAGCTAAATCCCCAGCCCAACAACTATGTATTGGATCTCCTGAAACTATGAGCTAAATTAAACTGTTCCTCTTTTAAATTGTGAGTGTTGGGTATTGTGTCTTAGCAACTAATACAGAAAATTGGTACCAGAAGTGGGATTGCTGTTGTGACTATACTTGATCATGTGGCTTAGAAGCTTTTAGAACTGGTTTGTGGGAGGAGTTTGGAAAGGTTTGGAGAGGCAGACTAGAGAAGCCTTAGATTACTATAAAGAGACCTCAATGGATGATTATTGTCAGAGCTCAGATCAGAATGTGGATAAGAATGTGGACAATAAAAGCTTGGCTAATGAGATTTCAGGTGGGGATGAGGACTCTATTAGAAACTGCTTGAGAGATTATGTGTTTTTCAAATTGGCAAATACATTTTGCCTGCATCTTAAGACTTTAGGTGAGGCTGAATTGTAGATGGTGAACTAATTTATCTAGCAGAGGAAATTTCAAGGCAGCCCAACATTCAGGCTGCAGAGTGAGTACTATTGCTTTCAACCTTATTACAGTGAAAATCAGGATCAAAAAGGCAGAGTTGAATGATGTGAAGCTTGAATAGAGTCTGTAAAGTTGTTGCAAAGGATAGAAATGGTTGTGTGAGAGAAACAGAGAGAAACAGTTGTGGGAATGATTAGCATGAAAAGGAAACCAAGTACTTCACATCAGGACAATGGGAAAGACAACTTGAAGGCATTTCTGGAATCAGTAAGACCTAGCAATCATAGACCCCAAAGAGCAAAAATGTAAACCTTTGCCTTGAGAAGAGCTCCAGGGAGACCATCTCCTTCAGGGCTGCCTAGGAAAGTGTTTCCTGAAGTTCGGGCATCCAGCCACATAGAAGCTATGATCCAAGGGGCCCAGATACTGCTCCCACTGATGGCAGATATTTGTGTCATCCTTGTGGTGCTGGTTTTTTGGGCACACAGAATGCAAGAGTTGTGACCTTAGCAAATTCATTTATTAGTTTTGTGGTATTATAGTAGAAATTATAGGATTTTATTTTTGTACTGGGGATTAAACTCAGGACCTTGTGTTTATGAAGCAGGCAGTGGAACCACTGTGCTAAATCCCCACCCCAGAGATTATAGGATTTTTACATTTCATGGCGTTTCATCAGTAAACAAAACAAAACAACAACAACAAGACAGGCAGGTCTTTTCAAACTGTAAGCATTTTATAGAAATTTCCTATTTCTAGTTTCCTGAGAGAGCAAAGGAGTGGGGGTGTGAGTTTATTGTGAAATTTGGGAAATGCTTTACATGCATCTAGTTTTATTCTCCTTTATGTTATTAAAATGGTGATTATATTGACTGATTTTCAGTTGTGAAAGCCAACCTTGAATTTTGGGAATAAACACAAGTTGGCTATGTGATATTATCCTTTTACTATCTTTCTGTTTTTTTGTTTAAGTATGGAGTACTGGAGATTGAGCCCAAAATCTTTGTATTGAGCTATATCCTTAGCCTTTTTACATTTTTAAAATTTTGAGATGGGGGTCTCACTAAGTCATTAAGTTGCCCAGGCTGGGCTTGAATTTGCAGTCCTCCTGCCTTAGTCTCCCAGAGTGCTGAGATATTTCTGGGTTCAATTTACTAGTATCTTGTTAAGAACTTTTGCGTGTGAGTTCACAAGGATTTTAGTTTTCTTTTTTTTTTTAATACTGTCACAATCTGGTTTTGTTAGAAGAGCAACGGTACTGGATTCCTACAATATTTGTTCCTTAAACATTTGATTGGATTCACTAGTGTAACCTTTAACTAGACCCTTTCTTTGTGGGAATCTTAACTTACAAATTCAATTTACTTAATATAAGGATCTTCAGATTTTGTATTTCTTTTTGTGTCAATTTTAATAATGAATATCTTTCCAAAATCATCCCTTTTAACTTGTCAAATTTATTAACATAAAATTGTTCATAATCGCTATGGTTTGGAAGTGTTCCCCAAAGCCCCATTTATTAAAGGTGTTCTGAGCAAAGCCATGGGTGGATCTTTTGGGAGGCAGGGCCTGCTCAAAGGTCCTTAGGTCTTTGTGGGTGTGGCTTTGGAGAGGATACCAGGATGCTGGTCTCCCTCCTCTTTGCTTCCTGGGTGCTATGAGGTACACACCCTGTGCCATGTGTTCCCACCATGATGTAGTTTCCTGTCACAGGCCTAAGACAAGAAGGCCAAGTAACCACGGACTGAAGCCTCTGAAAACATAAGCTAAAATAAACCTCTCCTCTATTAATGAGGATTTATCTCAGGTATTTTGTCCTGGTGACAGAAAGCTGATAGTAGGCACCACAACAGTAGTCCCTTAATATCTTTTTTTTTTTTGGTACCGGGGATCGAACTCAGGTCCTTGTGCCTGCAAGGCAGGTGACGGAACCACTGAGCTAAATCCCCAGTCCCCTTAATATCTTTATATGTCTACTGCCTCTGTGGTGATGTCTTCTCTTTTTCACTTCTGACACTGGTGATTTATATCTTCTCTGTTTTATTTTTTATTGGTCAGACTAGAAGTTTATCAATCTTATTTGTCATATCCTCTTTATACTTCATTGTTTTCTTCTTTTTTTTTTTTTAACCTTCAGGTTTAACTACTTTTTCTAGCTTTTCAAGGTGGGAATTTAAATCGTTGACTTAAGGTATTTCTTCTTTCCTAATATAAGCATTTGACACTATATATTTTTTTTTATTTTTTTGTGGTGCGCTTGTGAGGCAGGCTCCAAAACCACTGAGCTAAATCCTCAGCTGACACTATATATTTCTTATCTTCACTACATTCCTTAAAGTTTTCTCTTTCTTTCTGGTGTCAGGGATTTACTTAAAAGTGTTACTGCATGATAATGGAGCTAACCTAGCCCTAAGACTTTTTTTTTCTGCCTTTAAGCTTCCAGTTACCCCATGTCAGATGAAGTATTTAGCACTCTTGATGTTGGAAAAAAAACAGAAAACCCAATTCAAGCTTTCTTTTCAGATATCCACCTTGTTCAACCAGCCCTGTATTTGCTTGTTGGAGTTGTGAACAAAAGGGTGGTAGAGACATGCTTATCTCATGAGCTCAGCATCATGGATTCCAGGTCTCCAAGAGAATCAGAGGAGAGACATTCCGGCAGTGGAGATGGAGGGTGTGAGGACTGTGTGGCAGAAAAAGAACTTAATGTGTTGGAAGAACAAAGCGAGACTGGAGAGAGGTAAAAAGGGCTGATTACATACAGCTTTCCTGGCTAGTGTAACAAGATCCCAGGGGAAGTGTGGTGGATTAACTAATGATCAACTTGTAATACCCAACTGGACCTAATCAGTGTGGTTGGGCACGGAAGACCCACCTGAGGATTGTTGCCAATGCCATAAAAAGAGAACTGGAGGGGAAGATTGCAGGCTGTTGATTTTTCTAAGGGAAGTCTCCTGTGGTGGGTTTTCCTCATGTGAACTTGGCTGTCCTCACTGGAGGAGAAGCTTGGGGTTTTGCTGTTGCTGGGATTGGCTGCTGTTCTCATCAGGGGAACTGTGATCTTCACTGTGAGCATCACTTTCTGGTTCCAGTGTGGATCCCTCAGCCTAGTGGCACAAATCTTTCATCCCACTGGCATAGAGTTTTCTGGCTTCCACCACTGGCCTTTGGGTCTTCCTGGTGCAGATCCTCAATACGGACAAACATGAGGTATCTTTGTGGGCCCTAGGCCACTGGCTGGCCTTGGGAAGGACATTGCCTTGGACTCTAGGCCCTCAGCTGCACTTCTGCAGACATTGCTGTGGGATCCAGGCCTTTGGATTCTTTGGGTCTTTAGTGTGCGGTTAGATTTCTTGCATTCCTCTGTATTTGACTTTTTGGGTGACTATTATAAATGAATCCTAAAAATTATATTTCCTGTATTAAATCTATTCATTTGCAAACCCTGAGTACAGCAGGAGGATTTCAAGCAAGAGAGTACTTAGTTCTCCCTTACGCATGGGGATACCTTCCAAGACCCCCAGTGGATACCTGAAACCATGAATGGCACCAAACTGTACAATTTAATGCTATTTCCATCTTAACAAAGCACAAGTCACACGTTGGGGTCATAACTTTGCAGTTTGAAGTGTGACAACAAAAGCAGAACAAATTTTTTCCCCTCTTCACACTTCCACTGGAATATTTGTTTTTACTGTAGATGTTCACAACTTCTGCATACAACCACCCTCTTTATTAGGTTGAGAACATTTACCCTTTTGCATAAGAGAAGTATTGTATAGCTTCTCTTTGGCTATTTGATTTTCCAGCATCATCAGTTGTCAAGCAGGTAGCTGGAAACACAAATCCAGAAAGATCAGCACGGAAGACTCAGCTATGCCGACCAACCTGGGCCACCCTAAGCCCTTACTATGATCTAGTTTTCGGCACATGCATTATAGTTGACCCCTTCCAGAATGGAGCAGGCAATTTTCCATATGGGATTTTCCAGAACCAGAGGGACTCTTAGAACTCAGAAATCTTTTTTGGGTAGTGATTTGAAAGTGTAGCTCCTGACGTGTTTCTTACTTTGGATCCCGAAGGAGACTGACTCCCATTTCTACTTCCTCTGTGAATATACCTTCCACAATATGGGCTTTTACATTAGATTTTTGGGGGGGATACTGGAGATAGAACTTGGGTCTTCGCGCATGGGAGGCAGGCGGCAGAACCACTGAGCTAAATCTCCGGCCCTACATTAGATTTTGACAAGGTTTCCACATTTAAAAAAATCCAAATCCAGCAGGCTGTGGGTATAAGGCAGTGGGAGAGCAGAAGCTTAGCATGCTACCATGCACTGGGCGCAAACCAAAGAGCGCTTTGCTTTCCAGATGAGGACTCTTCAGGGTTTTGTACCCTCATCCCAGCGAGGCGATGGGCTTTCCTTCTTTAGCTGGGAGCCCTATCATAGCCTTCGCGAGCTTCGAGTGTGTGAGGAGCGGGTGGAATCTGAGACGGAGGAACCTGGAGGTGAGCTGCTGCCTCGAGGAGCTGGGCTCTCCTCCAGGGGTACAAATCATCGCTCCCGGGACCCCCAGCTGTGCCTTTGTGAGCGTGGCGTTTGGACCGCGTGTCCATTCTGAGAAGCTAAGCTTTTTCTGCCAATGAATCGGCCCACGAATAACCGCACGACTCGCCCACTACTCTTGGGGAATCAGGGCACCGAGAGTCCGGAGCTGTCCACCCGCTCCCAGGTCTCCCGGGTGCGTCAGGGGCATGCCTTGGGGATACGAGCAGGAACCCCTGGTGGGATGGCCGTGGGGTCCGGGGGCCACCGAGCGTCAGGAGCTAGGGGGTCCGCGGCCGCCCCGCCCCCGGGCCTAGGAGACTCGCGCG